TAATAATAATAATAATAAACAAAAAATAAAAAAAGATTTTTGTGTAGTTGTGGTGAGAAAATTTAAGATCTCTCTTAGCAACTTTCAAGTATACAGTACAGTACTATTAACTCTAGTCACCATGCTGCACATTAGCTCCCCAGAACTACTTATTCATCTCATCTTATAACTGGAAGTTTGTACCCTTTGGACAAGCTCTCTCTCGCTCTGTGTGTGTGTGTGTGTGTGTGTGTGTGTTAAATCTGTACATCTCTCAATGGACACTTAGGTAGTTTCCATGTATTACATATTTTGAATAATACAACAATGACCACCATGAGGTTGCAGATATCTCTTTGAGATCCTGTTTGCATTTCCTTTGGATATATACCCAGAAGTGGGATTGCTGTATCATATGGTAGTTCTATTTTTAATTTTTTGAGGAACCTCCATATTCTTTTCCATAGTGGCTGCAACAGTTTACATTTTCACCAACAGTGCACAAGTGTTCCCTTTTTTCCAAATCCTTACCAACACTTATCTCATCTTTTTAACAATATCCATTCTAATGGGTGTGAAGTGGTAAGATGTTCTTGTAAAGATACTTCAGTTAACTTATAAATTAAATGTAATTTAAATTGAAATAAAAACAAGATTTTTAGGGGAATTTAACAAATAACACATTGTATCTCTAAATAAACACATGTGAATAGGTACATTGTGAAATTATGAAAAAAAAGAGTAGAGAAGTCTTACCCTCCCAGATATTAAAACCTATTATGAAGATATTATAATTAAAAGTTTGGTACATAAAAAGAAATAAAAAATTAAAGGATTACTTTTTTTAATTAATAAAGGATTATTTCTTAAATTAATAAAATTTATTAAAAATTTTTTAATTTAATAAAGATTAAAGGAACATAATAGAGAATTGAGAACTAGATCCAAATATGTGTGGATAATTAGCTTATGATAAAGGTTGGCATTTTAAATCAGTGAGCTAGATAACTGCATTAGGACAATTAGCTAACTATTTCAAAAAAATAATTCCATATGCTCAATAAGGCTGGAAAAATATATTCATAATAACAATGAAATATTATTTGCATTTTTCACTATGTTGACATTTATGCAAATGGTACAAAAGCAATGGTGGGTAAAACTGCTGGTGCCTTACTAATACTAATGATAATGACACATACACACATTCCATATGGACCAAAAATTTATTTAAAAACACACATAAATTAGAAGAAAATGCAGGCCTTCCTAAGCAGAACACAAAACCCAAAAAATGTAAAGAAATAACTGATAAATTTTATATCATAAACATTAAAATTGTCTATATAGCCGAAGTTGAAAGAAAATTATAAATTGGGAAAGTATATATAACACTTATGACAAAGAGCTCATTTCCTTAATTTACAGAAAGTTCTTATATATTAATAATGAAAAGATAAAAACCTAGTAGAAAATGGGAAAAGGCAGTTCATAGAAAGAGAAATACAAATGGTTAATAAACCTATGAGAAGATGTTTAATCTCACTTGTAATTAAAGAAATTAAACTTTTTGGAGCACAACAAAATGAGCAAATGTTAAGAATAAAATCTTAACATTTGCAACAACGCAAATGTACCTAGAGTGTATTATGCTAAGTGAAATAAGTCAGACAGAGAAAGATAAATACCATATGATTTCATTTATATGTGGAATCTAAAGAACAAAATAAACAAATAATCAAAACAGAAACAATCTCGTAGATGCAGAGAACAAACTGATGGTTTGCCAGATGGGAGGGGGTTGGGAGACTGGGTGGAAGAAGTGAAGGGATTGAAAAGTAAAAATTGGTAATTACAGTCATGGGGATGTAAAGTACAGCACAGGGAATATAATGAATAAATTTGTAATAACTATGTGTAGTGCCAGGTGGGTACTAGACTTATTGGGGGGATCACTTTGTGAGTTATATAAATGTATAACCACTATGCTGCACACCTGAAACTAATATAATGTTGAATGTCAACTGTTATTGAAAAATTAAATTTAAAAAAAGATGGCATATAAGCCTTAACAGCCTGATCTGTTGGGGGGGGGGTGTCTAACATTCTTATGGAAACCCCCTACATACATATGTAATAAATTTGGTCAATTTCTCCTGTTAATCTGTCTTGTGTTAATTTAGTTATTAGTCCAGCCAGAACTTAAAAGGGCAGGAAGGAAAAGAAAAATTAGTTTTCCACCCCCACAGTGTTAACTGAGGGTATTTCAGAGTGGATATTATTGGCCATGTTTTCTTTTTATACTTTTCTGTATTAAGAAGCCCTAATAAATGTAATAATTCAGTTGATGAACTATAAAAAAAAGATATATATGTACACACACTCACATATAATGTATCTACATCTGTATTATTATTATTATTTTCATATATATAAAACAACAGCAAAACCTGGAAAGAGTCAATTGAAAAGTTGGCAGTGGTTTTCACAAGATTTATCATTGGGTTCATGTAGATGTGTTATCACGGTGGTTATCAGAAGGGTGGAGAATTTGAGACATTTTTATTTTCTGCTTCTTTCTTTTCCTGGTTAACACCTGCTTTCCTTTATCTCGGCTCAAAATTTCACTCCCTCTCCCCCCTGCAGGCCACACACGGTAGCTTATGACAACCCACTGCAGCAGGGGCTGCAGCCTATGCCATTGCCGCTGACTCACGGCAGCCCAGCTCGAGGACGAGCTGTTGTTCACCATCTTAGCTGTAGAGGGCAGTGTCACTGGCCCTCATGTGAGATCCGAACCGGTGCCCTGCTGCTCAAAGCTGGCATCCCAAGCCAACTCTTAACCAACGTGCCACTCGGCCGACCCTGTTTGCACATTTTTTTAAAAGATTTTTTTATTAGGGAATTGGGGGGATGGGAACAGTGGTGGGGAATTGGGGGAAGGGGAACAGACAAGTTGCTGTCCTTTT